GATAACAGTATAGTTTTTTGTTCCAAATAAGCCACAACTGTTTATATATATATATAACAGAGATAAACTCTTCTGCTAAATCTAAGTTATTAAGAATACCCAAATCATAGAAGCAAATCACAAAACGTCAAAGCCCCTACATCTTATCATGAGAATAAATTGATAATCAACATACTAAATCAGGAAGGAGAAACAAACGTCAATTAAAGCAGCATATCCATACAAGGAAATTCAAAACATTTATATATTCCAGTTCTGTGACTGAATAATAGTGCTTTTCTGTCTTGACCAATTTCGATCTAATGGTATGCAATGAGTATTCTTCTGTGTAAGGATTCCTAACTTGTCCTTGTATTCTCAAATGGAATGTATTCACTGTTTTTTTTTTGTCAGTATTTATGAGTGATATTATTCACAGTTGTTCAGTATTTTTAAACCGAAGGTACCTTTGTAGTGAAGGAAAACACAGGTGAGGTCAACCGGATTGTATTTAACGAAAATTACAGAGTTACTCAGTAAAACAGGAAAACCATATCGTAAATCGTTAATTTGCAAAATATCAGTTCATCATATCGAACTGGACTGTTCCTGTTGCAAAACATCAATCCATTGTCACTACTATTCATGCGTTTCATACAAACTCCATTGTTTTCTAACTCTACCTTTCTTGATCTTCCGCCATCATCTTCTGCTGCAGCCAGACATTACGTTGACACTCACGTTATATACTACTTATAAGTAGCTCGCACCACACCGTGTTCTCTTTGCAAATGAAATGCCAAAAAGAGAATGAAAATTTAATAAGGGGTGAATGATATAAATATGGGCGATTCACATGTCTTCTTAAGGTTACAGATACTAGGCGAGATATTCGATTATAGTTATGTTATTCATGGACGAAGTAAACTAATGACCTTAGTCAAGGTTTCAGTTCGCATAATTTTTTATCAGGCAGGACAAATGCATATATAAGTACATGTGTGTGTTTTTTGAATAACACAGTAACATACAGATAACCTTGATTGATTCAGTATAACGGTTTTGTTTTAGAGGTTTAGTGGTTTTTCAAGGTTTCCAATTTCTCGTCATTCCTTCTGTGGCATGAGGTGCTACATAACACATGAATGCGAACTTATTCACATGAATGTTTCATTCTTGAATCTTTTTTTGATTACCATTAACGAACGATATGGCTCAACAACGTTTGCAATGGCTCATGTGCATCCACTCTTTGTGTTCTCACAAATCCTAACCTTCTGAATTCCTCATCACCTCTATTTTTCTCTTTCTAACTTTATCTCACTGAATTATACCCGAATCTTCTACATTAATGCTAATACTTCTACAATCTCTACCACTATGTGATTTGAACTGACAATTGCGTCTCTGTGCTAAGCCGTTTTGGCAACCTCATTGATGTACATACATACGAAGTTCTGTGTTGTATCTATCTGTCTGTCTGTCTATCTGTTTTGTAGAAAATTCTTTACCAACCCACCCACTGGATCATAATTTATAAATTCGTTAACGAGTTAAGTAGATGATATTACAAGTGACCTACTATTGTTATCACTGTATAGAGATGACTAATTCATATGTTAAAAGATCATTATCTCTATTTCAACACTCCTAATTCAACAGGTCACTTAAGTTTTTAATGACAAAATAATTTTTTCATGAGTTCACTTTTAAAAAAAAATCACTTAAACCAAAAAATGGTTTAATGCATGAGTTATGTAAAATCTCTATGTAAAAAAGTTAGCGCTAACACTGTCACTTCTCATATATATATATATATCACAAAACCCGACCTAATGTCGCCTCATGACGCAGGTGGGTAATAGGTGCAATCCTGTTAGCTAACTAGGGCGGTCGGACTAACCATCCACTCTTATGCCGTAATTAATTTTGAGAGTCCTCGAGGCTTGCAGGCTGAAAATTCCAAGGACTGCCTGGTGTGTATGTTTGCGTATATGAATTGCATGGACCTCGACTTGCGTAACTTATGTGATTTTCTTGATTCAAATTGATTCAGCTCTGTACTGTATGCGCATAGATCTATGTAAATTATTGTTAAGTTCGTCACTAGGTACGCTTGAAGCTATTACGAGTTCACCTTAGTCGATAAACGCGAACGAGACAATTACCAGCGTCCAGGTAGGCTACCTTGATCCCAAAACTGCAAAACAGAAGTCTTGATAAGCGTAGAAAGTATATTCTACAAACACCCAGCAACCACAATGCAATCAAGCATACAAATCTCGTTTATTTATACATCATAGAAACGTCCTTGGGACAGTCACAAAAATAGCACACTAAAATAGACAGCAGCCAAAGATTTTCCTAGTGGGAAATGAAATCTCAAGGCCAACTGATCAGCCCATGCTCGCAAACGTGAAATCCAAAATAAGGCATTTATCAATCGAGTTCTGGGGATCTAATATCCCGAACAATTATCATTCGGTTCAAGCATGTAAACCTCTTATCTACATGATAGGTTTGTGTATGTTAAATGAAGCTGAGCTGAGAACGCAGAAAGAAGTGTGTAGTTTGTGATATAGTTTATCGATTGGAAATCTTTAGTTGAATTCTATGATCTAGATGATATCGTGTGAAACGACTGTCCAGTTAGTGATTCTTTAAATAACACTATTCCTATTTGTTATGTGTTTGGTGTATTTCTACAGTTGTCTAAGTATTATATTTGTGTGGTAGTATTGCAGAGGTCACATCGAACATGAGCTATTCGTTTTGTATATACCTGCTCAGTTACAGAATACTGCAGTCGACTCGATGCTGTTGTATCAACTCTAGGATGTCAGTCAATAAGCTCGTGTTTGATGCTTAATAATATATGAATTTTTATGTGTATTGAGGAATTTCACATTTTACTGGGGAGTAAAATTGAATGTTGTTTGTTTCTGGGAAGTGGTGAGCTTGTTTAGTGTCGATGTTGACAATTTCCGATGTTCCTTGAGGTCATTGACTAACTGGTGGAAGAATGAGAGTGTTGATTTCTGATGTTCACTCATTATTTGAGTGTGTTTTCTTCATGGTTTGTAGATGCCTCGTTTTGTTTTTTGATTGTTGATGTGACCACGTAGACTTGCAATGTGAAGACAAGTAGTGTTTGTTTGGCTGTAACCTTTGAATAATCTGTTCCACAACAGAATGTAGGATGTGACGATGGATGGTTTGAAATAGAGCAGAATTTTTATTATCTTCTATTTCTATTTATTTACGAGGAAGTTAGACATCAGTAGAACGAACAGCACTTGACAGTAGTTGGTAAGGAGGGCTCAGTGCAGAGTAGGTTTTCGATTAGTGGTGGACAACCTATACTCCACTAGTAGTGGTGGTGTACAATCACAACTAATTAAGTAGATAAGTAATATACTGTCTACGGGATTCGAATCCTGGTCATGCATCTTCACAGCGTTATACGTTATGGATGCGTTATTTGTATGGCAATCATCCTGAGGGACTGAGTTATCGAAATATTATTTTGATTATTTTTTGATTAATTACGCCTGTTACCCCCAACGGAGCATAGGCCACCTGTTTCTGTCCTAGATATTCCTTTCTAGTTCTGTCCAATTTTTGTTCATTCTTCTCATATCTTGCTCTAATTCCCGGCGTAATGTGTTCCTTGGCCTTCTTTTTTTTCTTTGACCTTGAGGGTTCCAAGTAAGGGCTTGTCTTGTGAGACAGTCGGGTGATTTCTGGAATGTATGTCCTATACACCTCCAATGTTTCTTTCTAATTTCTCCCTCAGCTGCGATCCGGTTCGTTCTCTCCCTCAGTAGGTTGTTGATAGTGTCTGACCAACGGATCCGAAGTATTTTGAGTAGACAACTGTTAATAAACACTTGTATCTTGTGGATAATGGCTTTGGTAGTTCACCAATTTTCTTCCCCATACAATAGAACTGTCTTGACAATTGCATTGAAAATTCTGATTTCGGTGTTGATTGATATTTGTTTGGACTTACAGATATTTTTCAATTGTAAAAATACAGCCCTTGGTTTGTCGATCCGCACCCTCACATCTGCATCGGATCCACCTTGATTGTCGATGATGCTACCCAGATATGTAAAGGTGTTAGCGTCTTCCAAAGTATCTTCTTCAAGACTGTTTTGCTTGGCGCGTGTTTTGTTGTCTCGTAGAATCTTGCTTTTCCTGTGTGTATTTGGAGACCTGCTGCTGCTACAATGGTCATCTTCTCTTACATTTGTTGTTGCGTGTGCGATAGAATAGCCACAGCATCTGCGAAGTCCAAATCGTGCAGCTTCATCCTACCCGTCCATTGTATACCGTGCTTTCCTCCAGATGTTGACATCTTCATAATCCAGTCGATCACTAGGAGAGAGAGAAATGGTGAGAGAAAGCACCCTTGTCATACACCGGTATTCATCTTGAACGGGTCTGTCAGCTTTAGTTTAATCCATCATAAGAATTCCGTATGATGTTGACTATCTTCTCAGCCACACCATAGTGTCAAAGAAGCCTCCATTGTGTCATCCTGCCCACGCTATGGAATGCTTTTTCGTAGTCTCTGAAGTTGATGTAGAGTGGTGAGTTCCATTCAGTTGACCGCTCCACAATGATTCGTAATGTTGCAGTTCGGTCGTTACACAATCGATCCTTACGAAATCCAGCCTATTAATCTCGAAGTTGGGTGTCTACAAAGTCCTTTATTCTATTTAACAACACCCTGTTTGAAAACTTTGTCTGATATTAAGAGAAGATAGATGCTTCTATAGTTCTTACGCTTATCTAAAATATATTGATCGATATATGATAACGAATTTAGTCTAGCGACACGCGTTCTAATCACTTACCAAACTGAATATTGCTGTATGATGGCACATTTGGTACCTTTTTTTTGTATCAATGTAGCAATGATATTTTACTCAAATTAACTTTTCATTATTTATACTTTCCAAACGCAAAACAGATTAACTCATCATACCAATATTAATATCACAGAAATCCAACGAATGTTGACAATATTTGAACAGACATTGGACATTGAAACAATATGGTGGTCACAAATCAATTCACGATCATCATCATCATCATCATCAGCATCTACATCATCATCATCATCATCATCATCATCATCATCATGTCGATCATCTGGGTTATCATCATATAATAAAACTTCCTCGAATCATCAACCTATATCAGATAACTTACTTGGTAATAATAATAATAGCTCTTCTTCATCTTCTACTGCTGTCGTTAATTCTATCAATAATGATAACTTGGATAAACTTGTTTATCTTCATACTACTACTACTACTACTAATGAGAAGGAGAATAATTTGGCAAAGAATAGTACAAATACCGATTATCATATTAATAATAATCATAATATCAATAACAATACAACCAAAGCTATTAGCACTACGATCAATGCCAATGAATTAGATCCTCAAGATGAAAATTGGGCTACTCCTACTGGGTGAGTTTATTTTTATTCTTTTCTTTTCTTCTAGTTTAATTTTTAATTTTATTACACGTGAACATTGTTGTAGTTTTGTGCTGTATTTTGTACAATTGAAAGCTTTGTTTGTATTTACTGGCAAATCGTGTGTGTGTGTGTGTGTACGTGAGTGTGTGTGTGTGTATTATTTGGATTTCTATGTTTCAATGTGATTGTTCACGTTCTTCACTCATCAGCAGCACCTGCCGGCCCCCCCGCCCCGATGTTGTCATAACAGTAGAGAGCTTTGCATTTATTGATTATTCCATTGATTTGTGTACGTGTATATGTATGTGGTGGGTGGACATGCAGACATGCATCCTGTATGTATGTGTTGTAGTGTTGTCAACGCCAATGATCATTGATAAAATCATGTGAAATCCAATGGCCTCTCTGTGACTCGTCTTTCACTTTGTCTCTCTCTCTCTCGCTCTCTTGGAGGCGCACTGCTTTGAACTTTTTCTGGACATTTACTTCTTTTGTTTAAGCAATATTACAAGTAGAGAGTTTAATTAAAACAATAGCCAGCAATCGGTTGTTGTTGTATACTTAAAGAAGGTGGGGGGCGGTATATTTGTTTGTGTAGATAGGTACTTGTGTGTGTGCGTAAATATAAATTTATTACGCCAACTGGTTCTACATTTGATAGGTGAACTAGTGATGCACATGAAACACCTTTTTCTTTAAGAAAAAGAAATTGTAAGAGATAATTACAATTATTATGTATTCTTATAAAAAATAATAACACATACACAGTGTATCTATGACGCCGCAGTATGGAACGGAAAGACTACTTGATAATGTAATTTAGAAACAATAACTACCTTTATAAAGTTTCTCTCAAATTTGCTCTCTCTCTTAATTAGAATGCCTCTTTCATTGATAGAAATCACAAGTTGGCGAGATGAAAACTGTTATGGTACATTCCATGTTTGTCCTATTTCAGATATATATATATATATATATATATATATATATATATACGTTTTGAGATGGTGGAGAAAACTTGTAGCTCAGGAGGATGATTGTGGTGGTGTTTTGTTCTCTGAGCTGGTTGTGGAGCTTTCATTGTTCTTCTTTTGAACAACATCGTCATCAGCACAAACTTCAGATTGACAAGTGAAGCATTTGAATTTCTTCACGTTTGACCTGTAGCTTGTTCTGCTATGTACATAAATAGTATACTGTTCAGGTGGTAGTTAATCTAAAAGCTTGATAAATTACACAGTCGGCTTCGTCTAATAATAACATGTTTTGTTGATCTCATGCCTTGGCTCTGTGACACACACGTGGTTTTTTCCCGACTCAAAGATTATATCACCATACTTTATTTACGCTTACTCATCACGAAATGTGTCAAGCATTCTCACAAACACAGGTTACTGGTTATTTGTCTACTCTAACTAACTAACTAACTGACTAAATAACTAATCATTGACTGAATTATATCACGGTTGATAATCCAATTTGCTTAATAGTAGTACTTAAGGTCAATAGCATATAACTGTGATATGATAAAGCTAAGAGTATATGTCCTTAATTTATCTTCTAGTTTGTTATTCTATGTAGTGAAACTTGTGTCAGGTAAGATGCGTCGATTATAGATGCAAGGCTTTTATCTGACAATCAGTTCAGTCAGCTCTTATTAATTGATATGGTTTAAGCATGTTTCTTCTTCTGCATTCAATTTTTATTTGATTCACGTATTAAACAAATGTTATTAATCTGGAGTAAACGGAAAAATTACTCAAACAGTAATAAGTGATTAGAAAAATATTCCTAGTAGTTGGAATCGTATATAATCATTACTGATATCTCTCCTGTCATTTCAGTAATTTGAAGCTCTCTTAGCTAAATGGTTGGATAGCAGAGATTATTATTATTGTAGTGAACGAGGACACAGGTGGGGCAACCGAATTGTATTTAACGAAAATTACAGAGTTACTCAGTAAAATCGGAAAACCATATCGTAAATCGTTAATTTGCAAAATATCAGTTCATCATATCGAACTGGACTGTTCCTGTTGCAAAACATCAATCCATTGTCACTCACTATTCAGGCGTTTCATACAAATCCCATTGTTTTCTAACTCTTCCTTTCTTGATCTTCCCCCATCATCTTCTGCTGCCAGACATTACGTTGACACTCACGTTATATACTACTTATATGTAGCTCACACCACATTATTATTATTATTATTATTATTATTATTATTATTACTATTCTAAACGTCTTCAGCGTCTGTTTGAATAATAAGTAGGAGATTGTGAAAACAATCACCAGTTAAGTTAGTTAGTCAGTCATACAGTCATATTCAACAATTCAATAAAGAAAATGATTTTCTGTGCTAAAGTTGTACAATCGTTAATTAGCATTCTTTTTATGTCTACAATATAATTGAAAGTTGTTGGATTTTATCAACAAAGATACTAAAAGGTAATTTTAATCGAAATACTAAAATGACGTAAAATACTTGGCAGGTAAGATTAAGCATGAAAGAATCAAATATAAAAGAGATGTGAATATAAAGAACAGTTAAAATCACAAACTGAATCATTAGAGAAACCTTGAAGCGTCGGATCTCCGTTTCGCCCTAGTGTCGGACTCCTCAGCAATGCTCATCTACGAGCGCCCACGCGGGAATTGAACCCAAGACATTGGGTCTCGCGTGCGATCAACTAACCTCTAGACCACCTGGTCGGCATCCAAAGGTGTTAATGTTTAACTTCAATCATTCCATGAATGATCATCAAAAATAACTTACAAAATAAGATGGAAGGGAGTACTAGTGTAGTGAACAAGAACACAGGTGGGGCAACCGGATTGTGTTTACGAAAATTACAGAGTTACTCAGTAAAATAGGAAACCCATATTGTAAATCGTTAATTTGCAATATATCAGTTCATCATATCAAACTGGACTGTTCCTGTTGCAAAACATCAATCCATTGTCACTACTATTCATGCGTTTTATACAAATTCCATTGTTTTCTAACTCTTCCTTTCTTGATCTTCCGCCATCATCTTCTTTGCTGCCAGACATTACGTTGACACTGACGTCATATACTACTTATAAGTAGCTCACACCACACTAGCACCATTTTAAGATAAAGGATTAGAGAATATGAAGAATAGGCTTCGTCTTATGACTAGGCAAGTCCTTAACCATGCGTAAGTTTCTTATCTATGTTAGCTACATTAATTTTAAAATAGATGTTGAATTAGTTAATTGTTATTTTACCTTACACAACTTCTTAATTAAGTCAGTGTGATCAATCTGTTGATGTTCATTTTATTATTGAAATTCTATATATCTTTAATGCTTTTTTTGAGAAAATCAATCATGATAACTAATGATAGTAGTGATATTAATAATAATAGTGTAAAGACTTTGTGGAGATTATTGAGTTTCATAGTTTACATCAGAAACTGATCTTAGATAACCATTACAAATTAGGAAGCACTTGGCATTTGCCTTATCACATTGTATGAAACTCCTAGGCAGTGTACATTCTCTACCACACGATGGAAATTCGGGTTCAAACATGTTCGGTGTGGAACAGTCACTATCTCATGGTTTTAAAATATGATTGAATGATATTGTGAATTGTATGAAGTTATAGCTGTGAACCGCTGGATACCCGTTCATCATTAGTTTAACGTTTAAGAGCTCACCATGATAACTTGAACGTCCTGGTTGTGACCCCCGACGAGGTCGTAAAACCATACTCCTGAGTAGTTCTATACTGGGACGAAACAGCTGTTTAGTATTTTTTTTTATTTTCAATAGTTGTCTAACTAAAATTAAATGATGATGTGGACTGTGAAGTAACTTTTTGTTGTGGCAATAGTAATAATGGCAATATATTATAGTTGTAAATAGTATGGCTAATCAAAGTAACCCATTTTGTTATTGAATAAAAATCGAAAGAATTCAGCGAGAAATAAATGTTCTTTTCAGTAAAATCATTTAGTTTAAACTGTACATTCGTATTTATGGTTGTTTAATAACTGTTAGATCACGGAAGGATAGTAGAGATTACATCCATATAAAAAAACATGGCAGAAATGTAGGGTTCGTCACTTAGTATGCTTGAGGCTATCACGAGTTTACCTTAGTTGATAAATGCGAACGAGACTTTTAACAGCGTCCAGGTAGGCTACCTTGAATCCCCAAATAGAGTAAAAAGGCTCTGTAAGCGTAGAAAGTATATTCTACAAACACCCAGCAATCACAGTACAATCAAGCATACAACTCTCGTTTATTTATACATCATAGAAACGTCCTTGAGACAGTTACAAAAATAGCACACTAAAATACACAGCAGCCAATCGCAGCCATGGATTTTCCTTTTGGGAATTGAAATCTCAAGGTCAACTGATCAGCCCGTGCTAGCAAACGTGAAAACCAAAATAAGGCATTATCAAGCGAATTTCGGGGATCTAACATCCCCAACAAGAAATCCATGAAGTCACTGACAAGTGAACTAAGTCATGTTGGTAGATATAGACTACCTGGTCGTGGTCCGCGAGACGAAAGTCACCGGTGGTTAGAGACCTTGAATGACATGGCTCAGAATCGTTTGCAATGGCGCAGGCGTATCCACTCTTTGTGTTCTCTCAAATCCTAATCCTCTGTATTCGTCAACACCTCTACCTTTGTCTTTCTAAACTCATCTCACTGAGTTATACTTCGTGCATAACACATCTTCAAACCTTACTCTTCTCCATTAGCAGTAATTCTTCTACTATCTCTACCACTATGGGATTCGAATGGACAATTGCCTCTCTGTGCTAATGTGGTATGGCAACGTGAACTGATGTACGAAGTTCTACGTTGTAACTGACTGTTGCAATGTAGAACTACGTACGTATATACATAAGTTCATGTTGCCATGCCACATTAGCACAGAGACGCAGATGTCAAATCAAATCCCATAGTGATAAAGATAGTAGAGGTATTCATGGTAATGATGAACACTAGGGTTTGAAGATATTATTCAAGAAGTATAATTCAGTGAGATGAGGTTAGAAAGACAAAGGTAGAGGTGCTGACGAATCCAGGAGATTAGGATTTGAGAGAGCTCAAGGAATGGATGCACTTGCCCCATTGCAAACGATTTTGGGCCATGTCGTTCATGAGAGATTACATCAAAAAGTGATCGGAGATTTCAATCAGATCAAAAGAAGCTGTTACGTAATGATGATGATGATGAGGAGAAGATTAAAGAAAAAAACGTGGGCGGATGAAGATAATTTACCGATCATAATAAATGTGAGAAATAGTTTATTCGCTGATGAATAGTTATGAAGACGAAACTAGAAAGAAAAATGTCAAGGTCACAGTAATTAATTAACTGATAATGACGGAAAATAATTAGAGGCTAATAATAATAATAATAATAATAATAATTGATTACGGTTTAATAAAAAAGTACAAACTACTGATCAAAACAAAATAACAAGACCAAACAAAACTATACTGGAGAAGAGGGGAATTAGGAGCAATTTAAGTAGTGAATTGTATTGCTTTTAGATAATTAGTTCAGGCTTGAAGT